AGATCGTGATTGGTCTTGTCAGGGTGACCCATACAGCAATAGCCTCGAGGGTTGTCATAAGATGTACATGTATTTGTCTGTGGAGGGTGTTGTTGTCGATGTATCGTAGACGGTGGTTCAACCAGAAGCTGTCTGGTTCTCGGCGTGAATATGATGATGAGAAATTTTTAAGTCAATGTTTGAAGCCGGGGCGAACTTTGTCTCTTACTTACTCTCCACGAAAGTGTACTAGATCGCCCCATCAAGATTGACCCAAGGAAAAACTGGAGGGGCTTTAGCTCCAAATCGATTGAGTGGCATAGGCCGCCCTACCCTCCCGTCTAAGAGGAAAAAGTGGGTCAAAGAGGTGTGTTGGCGAGGGACAGTCCGCAGACTGATCTCACTTCAACTGCCAGTTACCCGGTTTCCACAGGTCGCACCCCACGGTCAACGAGGCGCCCATTCTGTGGGATGGACGACCTCTAGTTTTGCTGCACACGGGGTAAGCGGTGGAAGAAATGATAGAAGAAGGGGAAGGAGAAAGAAGGATGGAGAAAAGGAAAATGCACCAAAGAAGATGTTGCTCATGGATCCCAGGGACAGCGAGTCTATTTATTTATCCATAACCCATGTGTGAATTAATAAACATAAGAGGCACCCAAAGCCTTTAAAAACCTTTTATGCTCCGGAAGTCTCAAAAATCTGTCCTCAGAGAAAGTTGCATTTGAAAATAGCAAAAGTTGCAAAAAGTTGCAAGAAAAAGTAGCAAAAGTTGCAAGGCGTATGTATAGCTAAAACAATGCCACGGAACTATTGGAATACATTGTATTGTTGCTACGCTCATTGCAATCAAAAGTAACCAATATGAGTTTTGTTAAATCGAAATCAAAAGTTAAATGTGAATGTCTACCCCCCAAAAAAGAAATTTCTTGTAGTACAAAAAAAGTTTGTCCCCTGACCACAGAATTCTACACTAAGTGTAGAATTCTGTGCCCCTGACACATGCGTCAGGTCCTTAACTCTCGCTGACGTTGGGCAGGTGTGGCCGGCGTTGTTTTGGGGCTGTTCAAATAAATCT